TTTAAACACTTAAGAGTTCAAATTTTCCTACAAAGAATGCTGCAAATAACATTTTTTTCCTACAGTTCTTACTATTATCTGAGGATAGATTTCTAGTAGTAGAATTACTGTGTCAAAGAGTTTAAATGAGTTTAAATCTTTAATTATATCTTACCAACTTGCTTTACAGAAAAGTCATACACCCACACACTCCCATTAGCAGTATGGAAGTACTCCTCTTATACCATCCTCCCAAGTATTCAATCTTGAATAACTTGACAGGTAAAAATAATGTCTCATTTCTATTTATGAGTATTGATCACATTGAATATTTCCCCTTATTTGCCATATTGACCAACTGTTGATTACTGGCATGCAGATTATCCACTATACAGTGTCAAATTGCCAAGTACACTTTTTCTGGTCTTTCTTTAAACTTTTAATCATCTTTATTCCACCATCAGTTACCACATAGCCAGGTAATTGAGCTACTTTTTTATATTAATATATGCCAAACTGAATTGGGACCATACATCTACCCCAGACAAATGATGTGGCATTCTTCACTCTTTTAAAATAATCGAATCATTGCTCTCTTCTCTCATTATAAGCATGATCATGAGTAGATGCATTAGTTGAGGGAGAAAAAAGATTTATTTAATCCTATTTCAGAAAGAGAGGAAACAGTTGAAAAATCTGTTATTGGAATTCAGAATCAGAGTGTATTCAACTCTAATAAAATGGGATGCTTAAGGCAAGCAGGGTCTCTCTGAACCACCCACTGAAATAGTCCAGGCACCTGCCTTCCAGCTTCATGTGGTCCTGCGTTGCGTAGAAAAGACGCTCCTCAGTCCTGCAGAGAGATTTCGTTGCACTAATCACTGCCTTCTCAGATCATTTCCGGCTCTGAGGTCAGACCAGCTCACTGACCTCCAGCAAATGGATAAAGACAAGCGCCATTCTCAGGGTACATTCACCAGCGACTACACCAAGTACCTGGATGCCTTACGTGCCCAGGAATTCGTACAGTGGCTGATGAACAACAAGAGGAACAAGTAAGCGCCTGAGCCCGGTCCTAAATTCGCACGTGAATGTGGTATGTCCAAAATACCTCCTGACTTTCTTACCACGTTCATCAATCAAACAGTGCACATAAGCTCTTTTCAATTTGGGTGATTTTCAAGGTTAGTGATGCTATCGTTTGCATTATTGCACAGAATGGCCCACATCCTCACCCTGCCAACCCCCTTACCCACCCTGCAATGGGACGTAGACTTGAGATTATTTTCACAGCTGTGGTCTTGGCAATATATACTCTTGCCCATTTCCCTTTACAACTGAAAGCTGACTTGTTGGACCTGTAAGGTTAGAAATCCAATTTCTGACCAAAAGATAGAGCAAATTCCACATTCTCTTGTAGGGCTCAAACTCATGACTGTGATCACATTCAGGGTATCCCCTCGCCAAGTTAATCATGGTAAGGAGTGGAAACAGATGCAGTCTTTTTCTTGTAGAATACAATCCAAGATACACATTTAAAATTACAGCCTAGCTGCACAGCATAAAGAGAGAAGAAGGCAAATAAGAACACAAGCCATGCGTGAGGCATACATTTTTTTTTTTTCCCTTTAATTTAGAACAGGTCAAATCACCCTAAAATACCTCAAATCTGTTGGCCGCTTTATAATTACAAAGTCTAGACCAAGTTACACTATTTAAAATATAAATGAATAATACATCTGAACCGACAGCTGGTATGCCAAGTTGTAGCCTGAGGCTGCTTTAAGCTGGTTGAAATGCGGTATAATGTAAATGCTTGGAAGTGAAGGACTATTAATTGAAAGCCAGACTGATAGTGAAAGGGGTGGCATTATGGATAAGGTGCCATTCAGGCGAACCATATGTAGCATATCATCTACAGAGGATATTTTAAATGTTTATTGTGGACATTTTTAATTTCAAGTCTGGAAGTGAGCCTTCTAATCATTAACACAAGTGTCCTACCATCATGAAAAAGCTTAATGGTGGAACGTATCTTTTGTGTCCTTGTTTTTCACCACCAAGAAAATCTGGGGAAGAATAACATCTACTATTTGAAATGAAGCTGAAAGTATTATCAAAATAAAATTGATGACTAGCCTTTTCTTCCTATTTGTAATATCTACTCAGTGAGAATAGAGCTAATTTCACCTGATGTGTTGAAATATGGTTGCTTATCTCCCCCTACCTACTTCCCTGCCCTTGACTCTGTGCTCCAACAGGCAGCAAAAATGAAAAGCATTTACTTTGCGCTTGGATTGCTTGTCATGCTGGTGCAAGGCAGCTGGCAACGTTCCCTTCAAGACAGAGAGGACCAAGCCGGGTATGACATCTTTATACTAACAAAGCACTGTGGGTTAGAGGGCAGCCTGTAAAGACTGTGGCTAGTGAGTAGGTCTCAGTACTTAAGAGTAAAGACTCCGTACAATTTCCAAATGTTTAAGGTCTCATTGGGATAAAGGCTTTTCCGAAGTAGAATCAGAGTATGTGTGTTTTGTGACTAAAGGGGTAAGCAATGTGGAAAATGTGTTACATGGGAAATTACAGCTCTTTGAAATCTTTAGCTGATCCTATCTATCCATCCACTACTCACACACTGCATGGCAGATTATTTAATAATTCATACCAAGTTTTTCTTTTTTGTTTGTTTTAAAAAATAACATTTCTTGATAATTGTAAAAGTCATAAATGTTCACGGTAGAATATATGAAAAAAAACTAAGTACTCAAAATTTACTATCTAGAAAAAGCTATTCATAATTTTAAAATTTGATGTATTACTTCCCTGTATTCTATGTGTAGGTATATAAATATACCTCAGATCATTACATGGCTTTATATTATTCTTTTTCTCTTAGCATTGTATTATTAGCTTGTCTTATATAATTAAAATACCTATTAAATGTATGATATTTAATGACTGCATACTATTTGATCTCATAAATGTACCATATTTATTTAGCTATTCTTCTTTATTTTAAACACTTAAGAGTTCAAATTTTCCTACAAAGAATGCTGCAAATAACATTTTTTTCCTACAGTTCTTACTATTATCTGAGGATAGATTTCTAGTAGTAGAATTACTGTGTCAAAGAGTTTAAATGAGTTTAAATCTTTAATTATATCTTACCAACTTGCTTTACAGAAAAGTCATACACCCACACACTCCCATTAGCAGTATGGAAGTACTCCTCTTATACCATCCTCCCAAGTATTCAATCTTGAATAACTTGACAGGTAAAAATAATGTCTCATTTCTATTTATGAGTATTGATCACATTGAATATTTCCCCTTATTTGCCATATTGACCAACTGTTGATTACTGGCATGCAGATTATCCACTATACAGTGTCAAATTGCCAAGTACACTTTTTCTGGTCTTTCTTTAAACTTTTAATCATCTTTATTCCACCATCAGTTACCACATAGCCAGGTAATTGAGCTACTTTTTTATATTAATATATGCCAAACTGAATTGGGACCATACATCTACCCCAGACAAATGATGTGGCATTCTTCACTCTTTTAAAATAATCGAATCATTGCTCTCTTCTCTCATTATAAGCATGATCATGAGTAGATGCATTAGTTGAGGGAGAAAAAAAGATTTATTTAATCCTATTTCAGAAAGAGAGGAAACAGTTGAAAAATCTGTTATTGGAATTCAGAATCAGAGTGTATTCAACTCTAATAAAATGGGATGCTTAAGGCAAGCAGGGTCTCTCTGAACCACCCGCTGAAATAGTCCAGGCACCTGCCTTCCAGCTTCATGTGGTCCTGCGTTGCGTAGAAAAGACGCTCCTCAGTCCTGCAGAGAGATTTCGTTGCACTAATCACTGCCTTCTCAGATCATTTCCGGCTCTGAGGTCAGACCAGCTCACTGACCTCCAGCAAATGGATAAAGACAAGCGCCATTCTCAGGGTACATTCACCAGCGACTACACCAAGTACCTGGATGCCTTACGTGCCCAGGAATTCGTACAGTGGCTGATGAACAACAAGAGGAACAAGTAAGCGCCTGAGCCCGGTCCTAAATTCGCACGTGAATGTGGTATGTCCAAAATACCTCCTGACTTTCTTACCACGTTCATCAATCAAACAGTGCACATAAGCTCTTTTCAATTTGGGTGATTTTCAAGGTTAGTGATGCTATCGTTTGCATTATTGCACAGAATGGCCCACATCCTCACCCTGCCAACCCCCTTACCCACCCTGCAATGGGACGTAGACTTGAGATTATTTTCACAGCTGTGGTCTTGGCAATATATACTCTTGCCCATTTCCCTTTACAACTGAAAGCTGACTTGTTGGACCTGTAAGGTTAGAAATCCAATTTCTGACCAAAAGATAGAGCAAATTCCACATTCTCTTGTAGGGCTCAAACTCATGACTGTGATCACATTCAGGGTATCCCCTCGCCAAGTTCATCATGGTAAGGAGTGGAAACAGATGCAGTCTTTTTCTTGTAGAATACAATCCAAGATACACATTTAAAATTACAGCCTAGCTGCACAGCATAAAGAGAGAAGAAGGCAAATAAGAACACAAGCCATGCGTGAGGCATACATTTTAATGTTGGATTTTCTCTGACAGTGTTGGGTTTTTTGCTGCATCTAGGCTACTGGAGGAAATCATCCCCAAGGGTTTCACAGAGATGGTGGAATTTCACAATTTCTTTGGAGTGTGTCCCACAAGGGGAAGGGACTTATGCATGCAAAGTAGCTGAAGGAATCTAAAAATCAGGGAAAGGGCACAGATTTGTCTGCAAAGAATGGAAAAGGGAGAGGGAAGAGCATGAGCTAGCAGGGGGAAGAGGAGGGGCGGAGTAGTTGACCCAAAGTTCTGAGTGGGGGTGCGTGGCTGCAGGAAAGATGGTGCTCACGGTCAGAGCAGACACTGGGAGAAGTGCCCGAGAAGGACTGAGGGTGGGTCCACTGGTGAAAAGTGGGGTTTCACCGATCTGAGAAAAAGTGGAAATGGTTGTCATTTCTAGAAAGGGAATGCCCCACCTTGGTAAACTAATGTAAAACGGTCCTCACTCTCAGGTGGTTTCTCTTGTGTGTCTGAAATGAAAGCTTCTAGGGATCATGTAGGCCAGGGAAGCTGAGGAGAGCTGATCAGCCACCCCCACAGAGCGCTCTGTGCACACTTGAGGCTGCATGGGGTCCTCTTAGCTCTCCTCGTTGCTAGCCCCATCACGTGTTTCCTTTAATCAGTATCATGTGATCCTTTTGATGCCATTCTGAGGTGGTCCTCTGCTTTCCCTTGAATTGATTAACTAACTTGGACCCCATACTACTGATAACAAACAGCTGTCTTGTTTGTAAGTAACATAGCACAGTGGGTAGCCCTCACATATTGTGACTTCAGTAAATGCATGTTTAATAATCAATGGCACAGATAAGCAGGGTTGGTGGAAATGGGTGCCCTGGGTGGAGTGCAGGAGCATCAGCCCCTCTGGTTGTTAGTAGTTCTCTCCCATCAACCTTCAATCCGGATAATGCAGCCTTCAGATAAGTCCCCTAGCCACCCTTGCTCCCAGATCTCCCAAAACCCTTCTACACAGAATCCCGACCCCAAAGCTGCCTGTGTGGCTAGGTGAGAACCATATTGCCGAAGAGACAGATCTCCAATTTAACTTTCACATTTCTTTCAGGAGTAACATTGCCAAACGTCATGATGAATTTGAGAGACATGCTGAAGGGACCTTTACCAGTGATGTCAGTTCTTACTTGGAAGGCCAAGCTGCCAAGGAATTCATTGCTTGGCTGGTGAAAGGCCGAGGAAGGCGGGAGTAAGTCTGTATATTCTTATTTAACATTTTTTTTCTTGCTTGAGGCTAAAAACTTAGACTACAGTTATCTATATATGGATCTGGATTACAGAAGCAATCAGGATAGTCTCACAAAGTAAGAAATAAGTAAGGAAATAATTCCTATTGGGGGACACAGTCTACAAACGTCTAGTGTTTTATCTTTGGCCGCAAGTGTTCATTTTACTTATGATAAATGATTATCTCCTCTAACAGTTTTGTTACAATTAGGGTATGAATTTGTCAGTCCAGGACACTTTTGATAATAAATGGAATGCTTTTGATGAATACCTCAGGACAACACACTGCAGCTAGTTCTGTCCCAGGAAAACTAGGGATAAGCAATAGGAAGAAATAATGCTGAAAACTTAAGGTTTAAATATTTACATATGGGACAACATATATATTTATGTTAGTAAATATTCAGCTAAAAATGTAAAAAATGTAATGAAGACTAAAAGGAACCAAATTTAAGATGTTAAAAATGAGGCTAAGGCTTTTAGAGACTTTCTTGGAACTTACCACAACCAAACAGACCCCTGAACCATCTCATTTTCTCATGATCATTTTGATTGACATTTGAAATATTCCAGGCAGGAAATTCATGTCCAACTCCATGTTTTTTATAGTGAGATTTAAAACAAGCTTACTGAGACTTGAAGAGATCCCAAGACAAAAGGGAACTAGTATCGTTGCTGATTTTTAAAACATTAATGATCAAAACCAAAACTAATGGTAACCTAGGCATTTACACTGGATGAGATATTTGCAGTGTTCTAAGGGAATACCAAAATATTGGCTCCATTAAAACTGATCAAAGAAGAAATCTAACACAGATCAAGCTTTAATCCCTTAATACTGTATTTTTCAAGGCTGCTCTGATAATCACTCATTTTATAAGATACACATTTTTCTGCATTCAAGACAAATGAACAGTTTCAATAATAACTTCTGCATTGCTGATGTACTAAAATCTTTGAAGTGGCCTGGAATATTGCAAAGGGCAGGAAGTTTTGAAGGCTTGGTGTCAGATCCCAGCTCTGCTTTCAGCTACCTAAACCAAGCATGCTGGTTTCTATGAGGCTTTTCACAGTAGGCTGTCTGTAAATAAAAGCTTACTGTTTCCTCAGTTACCCTCACACTTGCTACCAGTGGCAGCCAATCGATAAGCATCCGCTTTAAACATTTAACCGAGTACCGATTTTACCCCTCCCCCTCAGTTTCCCAGAAGAGGTCGCCATTGTTGAAGAACTCCGTCGTAGGCACGCCGATGGCTCTTTCTCTGATGAGATGAACACAGTTCTTGACAATCTTGCCACCAGGGACTTTATAAACTGGTTGCTTCAGACCAAAATTACTGAGAGGTGACAGTATTTTATTCAATCTGAAAACCAAAACTTCTATAAATATTATCACACTGCTACAGGTTGTTCTCTATGTGGGGGAAGGAGTCTGCTCTTTTGATATATAATCAAAATTATGAATCATTTAAGAGGACATCATTATATTCATTTTTTATCATAGTTTTATCCAATCACCCATTTATTCCAAAACATTTCCTAAATGTCAAAAAGGGGCGAGGCATTAGGAACACAGATATTAATAAAACATGGAGATGTTATGTCATTAACATATTATCACATTACAAATTGCTATATATGTCAAAATTTTAGCACAGAGCAAAAGCTTAGTATTTTATGGTATTATAAACTTAATGTAATCATGTGGCAGCAAAAATCTAAACGCTAAAATTAGCTTATCTTAATGGGTTGTAATTGCTTTTTATAGTTATTCATAAATTTTACATTTATTGATAGGGGAACTTTAGGATAAGTCATCTTTGAATGCAAATATTTGAAGATTCCAAAAGATGAAGGGATTTGTAAGCTGAAAATTGATGAGTGACTTTTAGCAAAATAAATCATTAAAATAGTTCCTAAATTAACTACATCATCTGGGCATTATAGCTATATTAAATCACTGTCCTTTTTTTTCTTTTCTCTCTAGGAAGTAAGTATGTCAGTGTTCAAGATCATCTTCACATTACCTGCCAGCTGCATGGGATGTTGGACATTTTAAGCTCTGTAGATTTAGGAAGTGTATTCTGAAACCATATTGCTTTGCATGCCATTAAAGGAATACTCACTTAATATTGTGTAGCCAAATATTGTAAAAGGAATAAACGATATCAAAATATTCCTCCAATAAGAGCCTTAATATATGAAAGTTCAGAATTCTCTTTATTTTCTTCTTATTTTGGGGTACCCTAACCTGCTTACATTTAGCAATGAAATCACTTTTCTATGATATAGTTTGTACACATAAATTTTTCCAATCACAACCTCTCTGCATTATGAGGGAAGGACTAGAAGCCACACTGGTGAAACTGCTAAGTGAATTTTGTTCTTGAAACTTTTGTCACAAAAATACTCAGCTTTCAGTATATCAAAGATAGACTTAAATAAAATTCTCAAGCTTCTTTACCATTGTCTGTTTTCTCTCTTCTTCATGTTCCCACTCCTTCCAAACACTGCTTCGTCCTTAGCTGATAACCTATAAGCCACTCTGGGGCCCAGACATGGCTTCACATTTTGAATGACTGCACAGTGCTTTAACGTGTTGAACCAACACTGGAAAATCAAGGTGTTTTTTATAGAAATATATTGATTTCTGACTTCTCTTGAAAAACTAGGTTATCAGATAATATTAGACCTAGAAAACAAATCTTTCCTGGAGGTTGAGTCCCAGCTGTCTCCTTCTGAAGCCTCATATATATGCTCTTTGGTTCACTATTGGGCCCCCTACACACGAATTCACAAGCACACACACCCACAGGCACAAGTGCACACAGTGCATACATGTGTGTGCTCACGCACCCACACCAAATTATGTAAGAATGTAGGCACTTGCCCCTGGCCCGCATTGTTTGTGTATCTCACTTGCATGTATCTTTGTCTTTTATACCCTGTGCTTTTTATCTCCGTGCCTTGCAATGTACAGTATCTTGGGCAAGTTTACTGCTAATCGCCATGCTGGAGACTTTTTTTTTGCTGTATTCAGCATTGCTAACTCCCTTTCTCTGTCTCCTTTTTTTGTTGAGATATAATAAAAATACAACATTGTGTAAGTTCAAGGCATACAACATATCAATTTGATACATTTATGATATGATTACCACTATAGCTTTAGCTAACTCCCCTATCACATCACATAATTATCATTTCTTTTTTTTGTGGTGAGAACACTAAAGAACTAGTCTCTTCAGAATTTTGAAGTGTTGACTATAATTGCTATGTTGTGCATTAGATCTCCAGAAATTACACATCTTATTGTTGCAAGTTTGTACCTTTAACAACATCACCCCAATTGCCTCACACCCCAGGCCCTGGTGACCACCATTCTACTCTCTGTTTCTACAGTTTGGCTATGTTAGATTCCACATGGAAATGATATCATACAATACACCTTTCTCTGTCTAGCTTATCTCATAATGCCTTCAAACTCCATCCATGTTGGCAGGGTTTCCTTCTTTTCAATAGCTGAGTAATATTCTATTGTATATAATATTCTATATATAAAATACCACATCTTCTTTATCGATTCATCCATTAATGAACACTTGGGTTGTTTCCATATCTTGGCTATTGTGAATAATGCTGCAAAAAGCACTGGGGGTACATACACATTTTCAATGTCTTGTTTTATTTCCTTTAGATACACACCCAGTATTGCGATTGCTGGATCATATGGTGTTTGTATTTTTAATTGTTTGAGGAACCTCCGTACTGTTTTCCACGGTGGCCAGTTTACATTCCCACCAGCAGTGCATAGGGCTCTCTTTTTTCCGCATCCTCATCAACATTTGTCATCTCTTGTCTGATGATACACACTCGACAGTGTGAGGGGGCATCTCACTGTGGTTTTGATTTGTAGTTCCCTGATGATTAGTCATATTGAGCTTTTTATTTTTCACGTCCCTGTTGGCTATTTGAATGTCCTCTTTGGACATCCAAATGTTTAGTTCCTCTGCTCATTTAGGCTTTACTGACTTTTCTGTAGCTCTGTTGCCTTTGGGGCAGCTATAGGTAAGGCTGGTGGGGCATCAAACATTTTGCCAACACGTGGAGTTGAAACCTGAGCTCCCCCACCTGAGGCCTTCAGCTTCAGTGCATCCGTAGGAGCCACCGAGGTTCCTGGTCCTCCGTTTTCCTCACCAAAGATCGGAGTAGCCATTGTGGATTAGGCAAGACTCGACCTCTTCTTCCTTTCTTTGTCTTTTGTGAATCTACTCTAGGTTTTTGCTTTGTGGCTGCCATGGGGTTTACATAAAACATCTTACGGATAAAACAATCCATTTTAACCTGATAACAACTGAATTTCAACCACATACAAAGGCTTCACCCTTTAACTCCCTCCTTTTATATTTTTTCATGTCTCAATTCACCTCTTCTTATATTGTGTTTTTATACAATTAACAAATTATAGTAACTTCTCTGCTGTATATGCTTCCTATGACATGTTTCATTTTATTCAATGAATTCTTCAGTTCTAGAATTTGATTCTTTTGAATGATTTCTATCTCTTTGTTAAACTTCTCGTTTTGTTCATGTACCATTTTCCTGATTTCGTTGACTTTTCTTTCTGTATTTTCATGTACCTCACTGAATTTCCTCAAAGCAGCTATTCTGAATTTTTATCAGCTAGATTGCAAAACTCCTTGTCTCTGAGTGTGGTAATTGGAAAGCCAGTGTCACCTCCCGGTGACGACATGTCTCCTTGGATCTTCACGTTCTGAGAGGGTCACCCTGCTGCTCTCTCCCTTAGGCAGCAGCCACAGCCTCGGATCTTTACTAGCTGCCTTCAGGATGGACGCACTTGTCACTGGTCCTCCTCTCTCCGGGGCCCAGAGAGGCCTTGTAAGGTACACCTGCCCCACAGTTCTTGCTCCCTCGTGTGGCAGAGTTCTTAACCTCTCACAGTTCTTGCAAAAACTCATCAGGAGGGCTGCTAGAAACCTAGTGTTTGTTTTCCAAAAGGTGGCGCTGTAGGTCCTTTGTGATTTCTCCCTTCCCCACAGACCCTGGTTTTCTGAGCACTTTGTGTTGGGGGAGCTCACCCTTGCACTGAACGCGCGCCCCAGGAGCCGGCTGCTGAGTTGGGGAGGGGAGACGAGGTTGGCACTTGCATTAAGGGTACCCGCAGGCCTGACTGGGGGATCCTCGGGTGAGGTTCTCCCAGAGGCTCAGGCTGCAGTCCTGAGAGCAGTCGGCAGGAGCCAAGTCCCTTTAATACCCTTTGAAACTCTTACCTGCCTCTTTCCTCACCTCCTCACTTCCCCCAGTCATGGAGGCCCCACCTCCGTCCTCTGGCTGCTGCTGGAGAGAAATGGGTTTCTCCAGCAATGCGCCACCCCGCTGGGGCACCCAGGCCCTCACCCACCACTCCCTTCCCCCCACTGAGGAGGTTGCCAGCAGTGGTTCACCTGACGGGGTCTAGGGAAGAGGCAGAGAAAGGTTCCCCTTCCCTCGCCAGTGAGCCCAGACGTGCTTTGTTTCGTTTTGTTTTCCCCGGTGGAGTGCTGGAACCTCCCCGTAGGAAGCCTCCATACCTGCAAAGTCCCTCTTACCTGTGGTTGAAGGCTCACCTCAGCGCTCTCCAAGTTGTCTCCCACCGTAGCCCCGGGGTATTTGGGGCAGGTTCACTGGTTCCTGCTGGTTCTGCAGAGAAGACCAAGGTCTGTCTCCCTATTACCAGATGCCCAGGTGGTGGGGTTCCTCCCGGGGCCAATTTGGTGTCAGTCCCACAGCTGCCACCAAGGTACTTTTGTTCATGAATGGCTGCCACTTTTTAGTTGTCAGGAAGGGGACAAAAAGAGGAACATCTAACACACCGTGACGCTGAGGTCACTTTGAATAGGATCCTCTTTATCTCTAAAGTGCTCCTGTAAGCTCGACACTCCTAACTGTCCACCAGTAAGGTTCCAAAGTTTATAAATTATTTATATACTTTGATTGATAGGAGTGAACAGAAATCTCTCTCCCATTCACCCAATGATGAACTTTTCCTGAGCTGGATAGAAAATTTTAAGACTAGTGTTATCTAAGGAGGGTGAGTGCTGGCTGGTGGACCCTGAGCAGATAATTCAAGCTCTGGGAACCTAAGTTCCTCATGTGAAAAAATAAGGCTAAAATTGACTAATCACCACCATACTTTGCAGAATTTTTTGTTTATAATTCTGTTTTTGCCTTAAAATGAGGTCTTAGTAATAACAGGACCCTTAACTATTTATCCTAAAATCATTGTTATGGAGCTTCTCAGGGTAGAAGTTTCCTTTGTATGCATCAAGATTTTGTCTGTAAGTTTCCCCAGAACCAAAATCATTATGTTTTCCCCCAAGGCACCTGAGTGGGAGAGGCTCTTCGGCCAAACAAATATATCCTCAAAGTAGGGTTTTGTTTTTAGAATTGCTTGATTTTTAGATAAGAGATAGCATTGTGGATTATTAAGGCATTCAGTTGATAAGATCAAAGTACTATATTTTTCGAAGTTCAGATCTAAGGAATTTAAAACACCTCTACAATGTTCATCATCTCTTCTTTAATACAAATTGTGGCCTTTACCACTCCAAAATCCAGTGTACCCATAGGTGATCTGAAATTCTCCACATGGAACTGAAATTTGGTTTAGAAACTGAGTAGATATTTGTTCTTGTGATACCAGAGTCAAAAGCTTGAGGCCATCTCTGTGCGCATACCAATTAAGCTGCAACATTTAGAACCATAGGATGTGTTCATACAAAAGAAGGGAAGTAGTCAGTAAAGAAAACTGGCACCCAGCTGGTGTGAACAGAAAAAGGGAACATAAGACAGCAAATGTAAGTCAAGCCCAGAAGAATGTTAAAGGTCAAAACCAGAAAAGATTAATCTTCTTTAAAGTTCAAGATGCAAACAAAAGGATGATGATGGAAAATAAAGCTAAGGAAGGAGCCATGTAAGTATAGAAATGAAGTTGAATATATTCACATATGTTTAACTGTGTGTAATACAAACCCAACCACAGAAACTTAACAGAATAGGTAGTTATATTTTTTTGCAAAACAGAAAGTCCAAAGGTAAAGATGTCAGTAATAGCACATGGTCTTTATTCTTCTACTCTGCCATCAGTAACAATGGCTTCCCTCCCATGGTCATCTCAAGATTGAGATGACTGGTCCATCTCCCAGTTTCGCATCCATTTTCCAAAGATAAAGAAGAAAAAAGAAGATGGGCAGAAGGAGAAAAAGGAAGACAGGAGGAAACATGAATAAGAAGTATAGGGATGGAGAACTGACAATCAGGGAGGAAATGCACTGACTTTGAGAAAACAAAACATTCCTAGAAATCCCCAGAAGATTTTCAATTACGTCTGGTTGGCCAGAGATGTGTTCCCATGACCACATCCTGGCTATAAGGAAGGCTGAACAATATTGTCCTTCAGCTGAACT